GTGAGGTATGGGGGTGGGGCACATGATGAAGCCCCGCCCCCTGCTTCCGGCCGCCCCGCTTCTGGCCCTCATTCAGCCAGGAGGAGGCAGGAAAAGGGGGAGGTTAAGTTGCTTCCCCCCCGCCTCTCCCCACCCCTGCCTGCCTGGGGCCAGGGAGGGCCTTGGCGGGGCTTCCTCGCAGTCCTGCAGGCCTTGCAGGTCCACCGCCGGGCCCTTGATGTCAGGGGGTGTGGCATATGCTAATGAGTTATGCTAATGAATTTCCCTAGCTCTTTTTCTACGAAACGACCCCTGGGTCCTAGTATGACACTCTAACCACTATGCCAGGCATACAGGTTCCGATAGATTGGGGAAATTGTGAAGCTCTCTTTATGTGGTAACATAGAGGATATTTTCCACCCTCCCTGTCTATGCTGGCAGTTCTTCCTGGTTTCTCGTGTGCAAACTTTGCTTCCATTGCACTTACTAGAGGTATGTTCTGTAGCTAATCTGTGTCAGGATGTTCCAGTTCCCTTCATGTTTTGCATCGCAACCTCCATAATGATGCTGAAGCTGGAGGGCAATTTTGAGACTACTCCGGGTTTCAATTTCTAATGAGTGTTTCCTGCCACAAATAAAGAACCTTTACTTCCATTGCAAATAGCATGGGGGTTGGGGGTTCTTTAGATAACATCAGCCAGGATGTTCTGATTCCCATCAGATTTGGCACTGGAATTCCCACAATCACCCTAAAGCAAGTGGCCTGTTTTGAGGCTCGTCGCTTTATTTTCTAATTAATTATGTATGCCATGAATGGATAAACAGATCATTTCATTATTATAGATTAATTATAACCACTTTTCTTTCTATTTGCATTTTGCTCATCCTCCAAGTATTGTTTAATAAAGTGTGAGGCCATACTACTGTAATGGTGGCTGTCCCATCTTGAATGACAACGCCACTCCTTTCACAAAAAGAGTGGATGACATAATTTGAAGTGCAGAAATGGATCACAGGTGGCTCATGCTAACTCCTCTCTTTGCTCATCTTTTGACTCTCACAGTCTGCTGCTGAGGTAATTTATTTTTACTCAGTTTGTATAAGTAAATAATTACTAATGTACAAAATGTTTCAGAATGTCTAAAAAATTATTAGGTTGTCTGAATTGTTAGATAATCTGAATGAATATCTTCCCAGGAGAAGGGTTAATGTATCTTAAGTCAGTTCTCTGTTTCCCTTGGTGTCAACTACCTTCCTGAGTGGAGATTGTCCCTTCCGCACATGGAGCACAATCATAGCAGCAGAGAGGCTCTCCTTCCTTCATCACCTTGGCGTATCCAGGGCGACAGCTTTCGGTGCACCGAGAATGAGGCAGGGTCTAAGCATAAAGAAAAGAAGTATCAAGGAAACTGTTTTATGAGGTTTGTTATCTCTCTGTGTGTTTTCTGTAGAAATTAGTCATACAGCTGAAAATGACTGAATGAGTCCTTCAGTGCAGTCTGTACCACTGATGGAAGAAATACTGATTCATAGTGGCATGGCAGGGACCCTGCTTTGATGTATGTGCTTTGGGATATTGTGAGATACCGGGGCAAGGACTGGCGGCAGGATTGGAAGCCTGATCAGAGAGATCTGAAGGGCTTCATGCTAGGGACATTTGAATCAGTTGCACATGCTTAGATAATGAACAGGTGTGGGAAGAATTTGGGATGGTGTTAGGGCCTTGTTGGGAGAATCTGACCCCTTGTAGGGAAGAAATCCATGTGAAGTGCAGTGAGATTGTACTGGTCAAGGTGGACACACAGCCACCTTCTCCAGAGACCAACAGAAGGTGAAATCAAGGGGTTATAAACCCTTTGCCTTCTAGGAAAAGGCCATGGGGCAAGTCAGGGTAGCAGCCATTCCAGACAATGGCCCAAGTCTAGTGAGGAAGAGCAAGTGACAGCTAACTGCACGCTCCTGACCATCACCACAAAGAAAAACTGCTGTTCACCACCCTCCAAATGTGTATTCCATCATTATTTCCCCTGCCATTCTTATTCCTTGATCTATTTGACTGTAAAATCATTTAATAGAAATCATCTCATTTGTCTCTCTTCCATAGAAACTGGCATTTGATTACAGCTGTCAACATGAATTAATGGCTGTGCTGCCCAGGGTACTATTTCTTTTTCAAAATATTCCGATACTTAAGGATTGTAAATTTATTAAGAAACTAGATAAGCTAACAGCAGATTTCATTTGGGGAGGAAAAAGACCAAGAATAAAGAGCTATCATCTGCAGGAAAAAGCCAAGAAAGGGGGTCTGGCGATGCCGATTTGGCGCTTATACTATCAGGCAGCGGCAATGACGTGGCTCCGTGAATGGATATTATTGCGAAATCACAGGATTTTAACTTTAGAAGGCCACAATTTAATGGCCGGCTGGCACTATTTTCTAAGCGAGGGAATAGGGAAATCACATTTGTATTTTCGACAACACCGAATAAGGGCCAGTCTAATAAAAATATGGAGGGAAATAAGAACTACCTATTATGACAAAATTCCAAGGTGGATAGCACCCTTGGAGGTGATTTCCTTACCAACCCTCATGATAGAAACTCGGGCCCTTAGCTATGAGGTATTATTGAATAAGAACAATGAATTAAAATCACAAGAGACCTTACAATCACATCAGATTAGACTGACATGGTGGGAAAGAAACCAATTAATATCTAAATATAATAAAGATAACCAAATAGGTATTACCAAAAAATTGACAGAATTAGATAAAATACTACTGGGCCCGGATGTAAAAATGATAGGTAAAATATATTCCTTCTTATTAGAAAACAGATCACAAGATAAAAATAAAAACACGCCTTGGGTAAAATGGAGCGATAATATTGGGAAAATAATTGAACCAAAGAAATGGGAAGGGATATGGAAGAACATGAGGCAACTAAAGGCGGTATCATTAAAGGAAAATGTATTTAAATTATGCTATCGATGGCACTTAGCTCCCGCTAGGTTGGCTAGGTTCTATCCTGGGTCCAGTAATACGTGCTGGAAGTGTAAAACACAAATTGGTACGTTCTATCATGTTTGGTGGTCATGTGAGGTGGTAAAAAAATATTGGAAAGAAGTACATCAGGTGATTACCCAGGCAACAAAAATGCAAATACCATTGGATCCCGAGATCTTCTTATTAAGTATACTACCTGATTGTTGGGAAAAAAAGGACAAACATGTTACTGGCGGCTGCCAGAATTGTATTAGCTAGCTGTTGGAAAAGAAATGAAGTTCCGGATAGGCTAGACTTTATAAATAAAATGATTGAGGTAATAGAAATGGACAATCTAACGCAAAAACTCCACGGAAGAATGAACTCAATGTTTTCAAATATGTGGTCAACTGTGTATGACTGGATTGACAAGAATGTATAATGAAATCTAAATATAATATAACTTGTTTACTCAGATACATACTAGTTATGCCATAGGATCGATTTTTAATAGGGGGTGTGGGGTGTTTAGATGGTGGATGTACCTATTTTATATGCCAATAAAAATTATATTTTTAAAAAAAACATGAATTAATTAAAATAAATGTTTTCCCCCACCTCATTAAACCATCTGGGCCACACAATGGCATCCTGATCAATGGTGAACTTTATTTCTGGAGAGGATTGTCTCTCTACACTCCCAACATTAATTCTAACAATCGTCCGATTGGGTGCCTCCACCCAGTTCACAATATCAAAGTTGACGGCCATGTCTCCATTCTCATCAAAATAAACTCCTTCCATGGAATTATTAAGAACCTGGAAGTTTCTGAGGAAAGGATGAAGCTAGAATGACATAGAAAACACCAGCATTTAGAAATACAGGAATCCTTATTGGCTATTTCAACCTTGCCCATTCAGAGTTTTTGTTTCCTACGATCCAGGCCCAGTGCACATGGCCTCCAGAATCACAGTGTCTTTTTCACACTGACACTGTGAATTTTTAGAAATATAAACTTGGCTTTTCATTGTAAAGAGAACAGTACAAGCAGGAGCCGCTGTTAGCATTGGGTGAAGAAGGCACAGTGCTTCTAGCAGAAGATTTTGGAATCATCCAAAGGCAGCAAATAGTATTTTCTAATTGTCACTGTAGTTCTACGTTATGGGGAATGGGAGGACCATTTTGAACTGTGTAAAGAAAGCTCTATCTATAAGAAAACTCTGCTGGATGTACTGGTACCTTTTTAGCATTATTGTTTTTTGGGGTGGTTCAATGGTAGAACATCTTCTTGGCATAAAGAAGGTCTCTGGCAAACAGGTTTCCCCCCCCCCCCCACCACCCATTTCCAATATATTGATAGGCCTTGGCTCCGGAAGACAGGTCTACCCACCCCTTTCCACTATATTGTTGGACCTGGCCTCGGACTGTTGCCCTATGCTCAGCCTTAGAAAACATACTAGCACTTTGGGGCGTGGGGAAACTCTTGCAATCTACTTTGGTGGGTTGTGGTTTTTTTTGTGAAATATGACAATCAGCATTACAGGTCAAGTATAACAGAGGTGGAGAAATGACTGTCAGAACCCTGCATAACCTAACAAACAGGAAGTTGCTTATATGTTATAAACCCACCGA